TAAAAGTAGCTAAAATCTAAAAATATGGATTTTTTATATTATTTAGGACTAAATTAGGTAAAATAAGTAATGATAATAATAATATAATTAAAATGGTTCACAAGGCATGCTCCTGAGCAGCTCGTGGGCAATGTAATTCAATAGCGTAACATGAGTTGCATTCCCCGAGTGATTTACAAATTATAATGGTGCAAATAGTAGTTAGACACGGTTCAAAGGCAATAAAAAGAGCAATAAAACAATAAAATTTAATTATAAATAGATGTATAATGTTACAAACTAAGGATAAGCGAATGTAGTTTCGTGTTACAATTTGAAGTCAACCTAGAAAGGAAAAAGAGGGTAAAATTTAGGTTTACTTAGATTTTATTTTTTGTGGTTACAAGGTCAGTCAAACTGACCGATCCCATTTTGAGATAGGATAGAGAAAATAACAGATAAACCATAAAGTTTAACTGAAAAAAAAAAACGTTTGAAATGCATTTAGGTTTTAGGGATTACACAAAGGAAATTTCAGATTTTTGAGATGACGAAAAATATTTTTCATTTTAAGATGAAAATTACTTTGCACACGAACTATTCAAAACAAATACTCAATATATTCACGGACAAATCTTTATTTCGGTTTATTAAAAATACTTCACTAAAAAATATTTCTTGTATGTGAAAGGCTTAAAATATCAATTGAAAGACGGCCAAATTTTGTGAAGATATACCCAATATATTAAGAGTTAAGTATTACATTTATAAAGACTTTAAACGAGTACAAATGGTCATGTGACTCGGTCAAATTGACCAGCCCTCGTATTGAGAGGATTAAAGACCAGAATCTACACATTCAAATTGTATAACAACATCTGATTAAACACTGAATTATACAAATTCACATTGTATAACAACGTCTGATTAAACACTGAATTATACACATTCACATTGTATAACAACGTCTGATTAAACACAGAATTCTACACATTCACATCATATAACAATGTCTGATAAAACACAGAATTCTACACATTCACATCATATAACAATGTCTGATAAAACACAGAATTCTACACATTCACATCATATAACAATGTCTGATAAAACACAGAATTCTACACATTCACATCATATAACAATGTCTGATTAAACACAGAATTCTACACATTCACATCATATAACAATGTCTGATTAAACACAGAATTCTACACATTCACATTATATAACAATGTCTGATTAAACACCGAATTCTACACATTCACATTATATAACAATGTCTGATTAAACACAGAATTCACAGTGCTGTGCCACTAAATGATTGTTAAACAAATGTCCAGTCTCTTCTATCAGATGTATAGGTACACCTCACATTTTTGTTAATGATATCACTAACCCTACGACTAATAAAAGGTGTTACAAATGCAACATTATCATTCTGACTGTTGTTCCTTTTCTTTTTTGTTTGTGATTAAAATTTTAAAATCTTCCAAATATCTCCTCCATTAAATCACCGTGTATTTGACAAATATGTGAAAGTCTTGTTAAATAGCAAAACATCATAGTCCTCTTCATGGTGCATGAGTGATCAGAGAGAAAATGTAGAAATAGCAGTTGAGGGACTTTTGTATTTGTTACTGACCATCTTACAGTTCAATGCAGTTGTAGAAGTGACTATAGCTTGTACATCTCACCAGGTAGAGCATATTAAAAAATAAACTTGATATCATCGTGAACATAGCTTAGGAACTGATGAAATAGAATTAGGCTGTTCAAACCATCATTCCAAATACCATAAATATCTTCAATAAAATACAACCAGATGACAAGAGACTGTTCTCTACTAAGTGTCCAGTCTCGGGTTGCTTTAGTCTCAATGGTACGTATGAAAACTATAGCAGAGAATACAGTCACCCTATTACCCATGGATAATCCTTGATAATGAAGGTACATTTGTTCAACAAAACTGAAAACATTATTATGTAAAACAAAATCCAGGATTTTCACTGGGTACTGGCTGTTTCTCTTCATAAAACATGTTTACATTCTTCTGGACCAGAAATATTACTGCTGTTAGAATAGCTGTAATGAGTTTATTCACAACAATGCAGCAAACTTGTAGTGAATTTCTTCAGCTTGTGACTACAAACATGTCATTATTAATTAGATGCCAAACAAACAAAGTCCAGAAAGACACAATTACAGCTACATATTATCTTTAATAACACAACTGTAAAAAGTTTAATTACCTCATTTTTCTCTGATTCTCCATCACACTTTTCTTCTTGTTCCTCTTTTGTTACATCAAACTTCATAATTGTATGTAGAGAACTTTCTTCCAAGGAATCAGCTTTTCCTGGAACTATAAGTACAAATAATGTAGGTTTGTCTATAACAAGATTCAATATAATTTATGCTTCACTAAATCATAATCAAGCCTCATATATTGTATTTAAAAGAACAGGTCTCTTCTATAATTTCTTACATGATATACAGGTACATAGAAAAGAACAGACTTTAAGCAAATGGCAGGTTTTGAAAATAGACCTTGACTATCATGAACCTTGTCAGTTGCCACCACTGAACATCACATCACACGACACAATCAATGAGACTAAATTAAATAATAGGTTGAACATTTATCAATTTTTATTTATTTGTTATTAAAAGTGGAATGATGTTCTGAGCTAGTGCTCTTCATCAGATTGTACAGTTTACAACACAGGCACATGCACAGAATTCAAAGAACTTTCGTGCATAGTATTTTGAATGTTGAGCGTGAAAATTCTAAGCAAAATTACATCTATTACATTAAAATTACAAATCATGAAAAGATATAATAGATAGCAATTAAAATTAAAGAAAAAATGGAAAATAGAAATCTACAGGAAGAAAAGTGTTATTTTAAACCAGGTGGTTGTAGAGTCCCAAAATTGTATGCCTGTGTGGGTTTTGAACTATATTGGTCTTTTTACAATCAATGAGACTTTATCGAATGAAAATTTTAGACTTGTGATTATTGTTACGTCTCCGTAGGTTAATTAACTTTCCGTAACTTCGTTCCGACGAAACTTTAGTGACACA